CCATTTCTAGTTCGGTTATGAAGGGGGAATACATTAGTCAAGCCCGCTTCAATTCAACACACAAATTGCCTTATGCAAAGCTTCTCAACAACCTTTGACATTTTATCCTTCTCCCCTTTCTTCCGCCAACACATCTTCAGTTTGGATAAACAACATTGTGAAGGCAATTGGCGACATCTTCAGTTTGGATAAACAGCACTGCTTCGAGACCGACTAGTTACTATCCAAGTCTCAATCGATAAGGATTTTCGAGTCCTCGTTGGTAGAGGTCATCTCATTAGCCTTCTCGACGAAGTGAGGTGTTACAGGTTACTAAGCTCGGCACATTGAAAGTCGAGTTGTTTTATGATTGGATACTTACAAGTAAGTTTCAGAGTTCAGCATTTCGACGGCTGAACCACATTTACCATCAAGACATATATATCATTCGAGTATTTGTGTCCGTATAATCTAGTGCCAGTTCAGCGTGCTTATACTCTCACAAATATAATCATCGTGACTGAACCCGGCACCGACGATTTGTGAACTTCGCAGGACTAGCAGCCTTGTCTTCGGGCTCTAAAACCCTAAGGTCGAGACGTGTTCCTTCCTCAGTCGCAATTGCAGGATCAAGAAGTTAGGAGCGCGCTCAACGCAACAACACATTTTACTCCTTGGTCAAGCTCGACTGTCAAGTTGGCACGCCCCGCACATAAATGAAGGACTTAGTTAGCTTATTAGTTACTCAGCCTACGTGCCACATAGGCTTGGTGGTTTTTAGGGTCAACAAGTTTACATACCCAAAGTAAGAGCCTAATGAGAAAACATTAGGGCATACTACAAAATACATATGTTCAAAGATAAGCAAAATGAAGAGAGTTGTGTTTCAAGATTGAGGAACCTTGCACGTTTTTAACAATAAAACCCTTGAAACGCAACTCTCTTCATTTTGTATATCTTTGAACATTTTTCTTGAACATTAATGATTATGAATTTTATTTATTTTGAGCTTCCTTAAAAATACTATTCATGAGGGTTTGTGTGGTTTTAAAAATTCAAATGACAATGTAGAGGATACGATTACGAGCGTTTGCATATTTTTCACATTTTTCATAGTTGTAGATTAATTACTATAATTTTTTTAATGTGTTTGGTATTTTTAAATTACTTGATATTTTTATTTTTAATGTGCTTTCTAATTTTTTAATCTCACTATTTGCGTATAGTATACTATAAATAAATAAATAAAACTTAAAATTTTAAAATTTATATAGAAAACAATACAATAATAATTAATAAACAATATATACTTATCCACTATATCCAGTGTATTTTTTTAAGCTTAAAAAATTAAAACCATCAAAATATCTTTTTTCTTATCGTGGCGAAACATGTTATCCGTATGTCATTCTCGTGTAAACTTGTTAAGGATCCGTTATTTTTAGGTTCTTATTTTGTGACTCGATTAGTTATCATATTGACCCGAAACCCATTATTTTCCTTGCATTTGTTCTCCAAGGTTCCAAGTTACGAACCTAACTTTCGACACCTAGGGAAGATTAAGATGGTAGTGGATGAGGGAAAAGAGAGATGATAGTACTCTCTTGTTCTCTTGGGAAAGTAAAATGGTGCACATGCGTCACTAAAAATGAGAGTTTTTCTTATTTTGGGTTAACAAATGACAAGTTTTGAGTGGGTTGTAGTGCCGCTCAACATGAATTAGTAAAACAACTAACAATGTGCAATGACAGAGCTCCAATAGATTACGCAAACTAGCCAGACAAAATTATGTTTTACCTGTTTTCTTTCGTCTATAACATCTACTTTCACCTTTAAATTTTGTCATTTTCCTCCACATAAAATGGTGTACAATAAAAAGAGATACGGGGCTCCATTTGCCACTCATGGTCTTGTAGGCAACATTACCTACTTGGGAGGGTAGGCAAAATTTGCAAACCCAATCGCCTATACCATTGAAACTAATTTTTGCCTATGGTTATGTAGCTAATCAAAATGAATTTGCCTACTCAATTGTCTACATCATTGAAGATGCTCGTATATGACAACTGATGTAACATCCCACATCGCCCAGGAGAGTGATCCTTAAATGTATATTCCCATCCCTACCTAGCACGAGGCCTTTTGGGAGCTCACTGGCTTCGGGATCCGTAGGAACTCCGAAGTTAAGCGAGAAGGAGGCTAGAGCAATCCCATGATGGGTGACCCATTGGGAAGTTGCTCGTGAGTTCCCAAAAACAAAACCGTGAGGGAATGGTAAGCCCAAAGCGGACAATATCGTGCTACGGTGGTGGAGCGGGCCCGGGAAGTGGTCCCCCCCCCCGGGCCGGGATGTGACAATTTGGTATCAGAGCCTAACCCTGATCGTGGTGTGCCGACGAGGACGTCGGGCCCCTAAGGGGGGTGGATTGTAACATCCCACATCGCCCAGGGGAGTTGGGAGCTCACTGGCTTTGGGTTCCGTAGGAACTCCGAAGTTAAGCGAGAAGGAGGCTAGAGCAATCCCATGATGGATGACCCATTAAGAAGTTGTTCGTGAGTTCCCAAAAACAAAACCGTGAGGGAATGGTAAGCCCAAAGCGGACAATATCGTGTTACGGTGGTGGAGCGGGCCCGGGAAGTGGTCCCCCCCGGGCCGGGATGTGACAACCGATTTATCCATGGATTACCAATGGCTTAGAGCATCTTTTAACGATATTAGGAAAATTAAAGTGGAGAAAATTGTACTATAAATGCTGATGTAAAATATTGCCATTCAATTGTCTCATAAAAGAAGTTTGTCGCTCCAATGAAATAGGCAAAACTTGTATGACACAACCGATTTACCCATGGATTGCCAAGAAATGCCTCAAAATCTATAGAGTCATGATTAGAATATTAATTAGTAATTGAGTTTGAGAGCATCTTAATGTCATCATACCAACCATTTAATTTATTAGCACAAAAAATCATAATTAAGCAATGGGCAATGAAACAAGTTAAAAAGGTAGGGTAGCCCTTCTTTATATATACAAAACCATCTGCTACGAATGACACCATATCATTAGATTCATTACACCTAAAGTGATGCACTTACAAGATTTGCAAACATAACAACTACAGGGACTCGATCTTCCTTCGACTACGAGAACCAATCATCTTCATCCAGTACATCAAAATCCCAACTTACCACTAGTTACTCACCATTACAAGGTACAGACCAATTCTCTATTTTGGGCATGGACTCGCACTCCTCAATCCAATGGCTACGGCAATACTCACGACAATCACAATACTTCAAAATAGTACGTCCTTCATAGTCTACATTAAGCTCCTCTTTGTGCTAAAAAACAAGCTCACCACATTATGTACAAATTATATCACAGTGTTCGCCAACACGAGTTCCCTTTGGGACCTAAACAAAGTACGGGCAATCGTTACTCTTGTGGTCCTCAACCACCTAACAAAAAACTTCACGGTAATTTTTTTTATTTTTTTTATTTTTTTTGGAGTTGGAGTTGAGTCATTGGGTCTCCAATCCCCTTTCATATACCTCCCTTTTCATAGGTTTGTTTAAAGTTTCATTGTTAGACTACAAAATAAGAAAATATTAATAACAATAGTACCATAGCATCTCAAGGCCCTTAAGAGTTTTTCTTGCTACAAAAACATGAATACATGTATAAACTAAATTGAGTTATAAACATGAATACATGTCGATAAGTTTTCTAGTCCCTTCTAAAACCATAGTAATAGTTCCAATTCAATCCTTTCAGTTCACATGCTTCATGATACATTGGTGATTAAAAAAAAAAAAGATTTTGGTCACAAATGGTTGTTTGGCAGTCTTGAAGCGAGGTACGAGAACACTTTGAGTTTTTCCATTACAATTTCACATAAGAAGCCTATCGCGACGTGCTCGGGGAACCATGTCTAAATATTCTGATCACCTGTTTGCGTCGACCACCAAACAAACAACATAAGATACATTCAGGAGTCATTCACTGAAACTAAATTAATATTCGGAATATTATAAATGCATGCAAAGGGAGGAGTTTAGTCAACCAAGGCCGAACCCACCTCGTTTCATTTTGTTCATGAGGTTTTATCATCGATTTACGACACATATAAACATCCAAATTCCGACCTAAATTTCCCACTTTCCTTTTTTCAAGATTCAAAAGAACGTTGAGGCATGTGTGTTGTGATTTGAGAATTGGATTGGATCATAATTTTCGAATTTGGACTTTTAGGCATATTTTGAAATTATGAAACGTATTCAGAAATTCATATATTTTAAATGCTTTTGAATAATGTATACTACTCAAGTGAAAACAATTAAGTTTCTAACTATATTTTGTTCCGAAGCTTACCTTTGTAGCATGCTTTAAACCCTCGTTGGTACTTCTCCAAGCTCTGTCCTGCAAGCTCCAAGCTCCAAGTTTCGTCCCTGATTTCTCCAAGGTTCCAAGTTAGGAACCCTCTAACATTCGACACCTATGGAAGACTAAGAGGGTAGTGGATGAGAGAAAAGAGACATGCTTCATGTTCTCTTGCACTACCAGCAATGACCATTCGACAAACAGTATTTCGTTGGGCAAATAACCTTTACCCGACATAATACAAACGTTTGTTGAGCAAAAAGGTCGACGCTTTGGTTTGTGCAAAGCCTTTTGTCCGACGAACTGTCTTCGACGGTCAAAGCTTTAGTCGTCGGGTATAGGAGATCCAATCTTTTGCAATGGCTTAAAAGCATCTTTAACGGTATTAGGAAAATTAAAGTGGGGAAAATAAAATGTTGCCAACTCAATTGTCTCATAAGAAAAGTTTGGGGCTCCAATGAAATAGGCAAAACTTGTATGACACAACCGATTTACCCATGGCAATCCAAGAAATGCCACAAAATCTAAAGAGTCATGATTAGATTAATTGGTAATTGAGTTTGAGAGCATCTTAATGTCATACTAACCATTTAATTTACTGGCACAAAAATTCATAAGCAATGATAAGGGCAAAGAAACAAGTTAAAATGGTAGGTTAGCCCTTCTTTATATATATATAGAACCATCTGCTCCAAATAACACCATATTATTAGATTCATTACACCCAAAGTGATGTAGTTACAAGACCTGTAAACACAACAACTACAGGGGCTTGATCTTCCTCTTACTACGAGAACCAGTCATCTTCATTGCCGCTAGTTACTCACCAAGACAAGGTCCGGACCAATTCACTATTTTGGCATGGACTCGCATTCTTCTGTCGCATGGCTACAGTAATCCTCACACCAATCACAGTACTTCAGAATAGCACGTCCTTCATAGTGCACATTAAGCTCACCTTGGTGCTCAGAAACAAGCTCACCGCATTCTGTGCAAACAATATCGCAGTGTTCGCCAACACGAGCGCCCTTTGGGACCAAGACAAAGTACGGGCAATTGTAACTCTTGTGGTCCTCAACTTCCTCACAACAAACTTTACAGTAATTACGCTTTTTTTGCAGTTGGAGTCGAGCCATTGGGTCTCCAATTGCCTTTTGTATACCTTCCTCTTCATCTGCTTTTTTAAAGTTTCGTTGTTAGAATACAAAATTCGAATATCAATAACAATTAGTAACATATCATCTCAAGGCCCGTAAGACTTTTCCTTGCTACAAAAACATGAATACATGTCTAAACTAAATTGAGTTGTAAAACATCAAGCCCTTATTCTAAGGAGCACTTGGGCTCATAAACGCTCATAAACGCTTTTGCTACAAGTACGTCCCCTAGAAACACGTTAGGACAGTGACTTCTACTCAGTTAACCAACTATTAAGCATACAAAAATAGTGCGAATACATTATAAATGCACTAGAACAAGACTACACATTAACTACTCAAGTGCTAGAAAAGTAGTGCGAATACACTACAAAGACACTAAACAAAGGACTACTAATTATCATAGATGCATTCATATTCATATTCAATTGGGAGAAAATGAGGATTTAGTACTAAAACAAAAATCAAAAGCATACCGTTACGATTCTGGCCAATGCAGTCATCGTCATCATCGAACCAACTTGGTTTTGGTTTGAGGGTAGCTTCAGATTTGCCCATTACTTCATCTGTGATAGAGAGAGAGAGCGGTATGTAAGAGGTGGGGTGGTGAGAGGCAGAGCGTAATTGTGATTCATATAGCTATAAGCGAGAGACAGCCGACACTGGGTTTCGGAAATTTAAATATCTCTTTTCAAATATGAAGCATTTACAGGAGACTCTTTAAAAGCAGATTAGCTAATTATTTTAGCAAAAACCCAACAAAACCAAACCTTGATCTGAAACTGATTTTCTCACACACATCGTCGTGTACCACATACCTTTGTTAGCGTGGTTTCTATAACACAATAACATATCTAACCAAAGATTATAATACTGAATTGAAAATTAGCCAAATAGAGAATCAAAAGCATACCATCATCGACCATGGTTGCTTCGTCGAACATGGCTTCTTCTGAGAGAGAACAGGGGAGATGGACAGGAGAGCGACAGAAATCGAGTTAGGGTTCGGCATTAGGGTGTTAGAGCGTAAATTAACAACTATAAAAATTGGAAAAATTCTAGATAATCACAAATCGTACCGTTAAGGTTCGGCATCTGGACGTTCGCATCGATCTCTTTCAACGGACGCCACTCCATGGATCTCGCTCCGCTTCGTAACTGGAGGCTGTGGGAGAGGGAGAGGGAGAAAGAAGCTCGCGCGACCGAACATTGGGGGTTCGGCAATTTCTGACTTACATTTTTTTTTACGTGGGTTGAATGCATTTTATAGCACAAGGTTTCCGGGTGATTTGTAAAACGACCCACAAGTTTCAATTTTTGCATATTATACCACGTGACTTTTAAATTGCATCCATTTAACTTATTTGTCAATTTGAACGTCTAATTAGAGCAACTCCACCCCTATCCACTTTGCGCCAGCACCCAGCCCATTTATCCACTTAATTGAACAGTAACAGACTCAATGAACAGTAATAGGCCAAAGCATCTCCACCCCAAAAAAAAATGTGCTGACACCTAGTCTAAAAATGCGCTGGCACAAACGATCTCCACCCCTACAAAATGCGCTGGCGCTCAGTCCATTTAAAATATTAAATAATTTTTTTATAAAATAATAAAAAAAAAATAGTTTTAATTTCGGATAGGATTTTTAACCAATCTCGTTACGCCACGTGTCATTATCCGAACGTACTATTTTTTGAATAGATTTCCGCTAAGATTTTCAACCAATCCCGACAACCCACGTGTCGCTTCCTGTTTACAATAATTTAGGCAAGATTTCGATAAGATTTTTAATCAATCTCGTCACGCCACGTGTCATTATCCGAACGTACTATTTTTTGAATAGATTTCCGCTAAGATTTTCAACCAATCACGTAGTGCCACGTGGCATTGTCCAGAACCTCATCTTCTTTTTTTTTGTCCATATAAACCCTACATCCCTACATCCATCCTCACACTAAACTCAATCCTTTTTTTTAGCTCAGAATTCTTCTTTATCATTTTCAAATCTTGAGTTCTTACAATGTCTTCTTCAAGGAGAGCGTATAAACAGTTGCAAGAGCAGCAGAAAAGGTTGTTGGCACAACAGGAAGAATTGGTCAATCTTGACCAAGGTGGAGGTGGAGATGAGGCCTTCGCAATGGAGGAGGATGACGATGATCACCATAGAAGGCGGAGGGCCTCACATTCCCGCCGTATCATGCAAGCTATGGGTCAGATAGCCAAACCCGGACGTGCGGCAAACATCGATAGAAGAAGGGAAAGACGAGGTAAAGATCTCTTGGAAGATTATTTTATTCCCAACAGCGTTTACCCTGATCATGTTTTTAGACGTCGTTTTAGAATGCAACGAAGTTTGTTCGCTAAAATCATGAGTGATGTTTGCAACCATGATCCATATTTTGTGCAAAAAGAGGATGCTTTTCATGTTCTAGGTCTTCTTCCTGAGCAAAAAATTACGGCTGCCTTGCGAATGCTTGCATATGGAGCATCCGCAGATCAAGTGGATGAGATCGCAAGGATGGGAAAAACAACAGTTCTGGAGTCCCTGATGCGGTTTTGCTCTGCAATTGAAGCCCTCTACACCAATGAGTACCTTCGGCAACCCACGCCAAGGGACATGCGAAGGCTTTTTAGGAAGGCTGAGATGCGAGGCTTCCCTGGCATGATTGGAAGCATCGACTGCATGCACTGGACATGGAAAAACTGTCCAAGTGCGTGGCAAGGAGCTTATGGCGACAGAAAAGGAGCCAAAAGCATCATTCTGGAAGCGGTGGCTTCTTTTGATACATGGATTTGGCATGCTTTTTTTGGTGTTCCAGGAGCTCAGAATGACCTAAATGTCCTTGCCTAATCTCCAGTGTTTGATGAACTGCTACAAGGGCGTGGGCCGAGATGCACATATTGGGTTAATGGTACTAAATACGAGGGATCATACTACCTTGCAGATGGTATTTACCCAAGGTGGTCAACATTTGTCAAAACAGTGCCACACCCGCAGAGTGAAAAAGAGAAACACTTCGCAAAGTGTCAAGAAGGGTGTAGGAAGGATGTCGAGCGTTGTTTTGGTATCCTGCAAGCTCGTTGGGCCATTGTCAGGGCTGCAGCTAGAATGTTTGATGTCGAGGCTCTTCGATCCATCATGATGACGTGTATTATTCTCCACAACATGATTGTTGAAGACGAGTATGATTATGATGCCGTCGATGAATACGAGCCGGATCCGATGAACAACTCAAGAACACAAATCTACTATGCTCATGACCGGACCGAAGATCCCGTGCAACACGAGCCGTTGGAACGGGATGGACGTTACAATGAATTGATCGTTCAACGATACACTTCATTGCAAGAGCCATACTGGCACATAGCCCGCCAGAATGACTTGATTGAGCATCAGTGGAGCTTGCACGAAGGCGAAGATAATTAAAATAAGGCTTGTGGTTGAAGAATAAAGTGTATTGTTTTTTAAGTAATCTTATTTAGTGTGTTTGCTTTTTTTTTTAAGTTTAAATGGTGAGGTTATGTAATTTTAAGTTTAAATGGTGTTTTAAGTTTAAATGGTGTTTTATGTAATTTTATTTGGTGTTTTAAGTTTAAATGGTTTTTTTTTAAGTTTAAATGGTGAGGTTATGTAATTTTAATTTTAAATTAAATAAAGTTCTAAAAGTAAATAAGAAATTAAATAAAGTTCTAAAAATAAATAAGAAATTACTTAGTTAAATTAAATAAAGTTCTAAAAATAAATAAGAAATTACATAAGAAATTAAATAAAGTTCTAAAAATAAATAAGAAATTACATAAGAAATTAAATAAAGTTCTAAAAATAAATAAGAAATTACATAAGAAATTAAATAAAGTTCTAAAAATAAATAAGAAATTACATAAGAAATTAAATAAAGTTCTAAAAATAAATAAGAAATTACATAAGAAACTAAATAAAGTTCTAAAAATAAATAAGAAATTACATAAGAAATTAAATAAAGTTCTAAAAATAAATAAGAAATTACATAAGAAATTAAATAAAGTCTGTGGAGTTAGGATATGTGGTGCTAGGATCTTGGTTGCTAGGATTTCTGTAGCTGGAACCCCCTTGACTTGTTTCGGCATCTCTTGCACGCCTCCTTCGCACGACATCTCTTTTTTCTGATGTCCAAAAATATTTTGAATTCGGAGACAGTCCTACTAGAGACTTGTTCATAGTGTCACGATCTGTTTGAGCCATCCTTTCTTCTCTAAGCATCTCATTCTCTCGATGAAGTGCTTCTCTAATCATCTCGTTATCTCGATTAACTATTTCTCTTTGTCTCTCAGACGCCGCATCACGAGCCTCAGTAGCTGCAATAATTACTGCCACAGCAGCAGCTTTTTCCTCATCTCTAGCCTTTTCCCATGCCATGTTCATTTCACCTTGACGAGTAAGTTCCTCCATATATTTAGTGTAGTCATTTTTGGAAGAACTACCTTTTTTCTTTGATGCCTTTTTACCTTGAGGCCTGAGGGACTGACGAGTCGGTTGGGTCTCTGGCACTTGTTCAGGCATCCCTTCCGTGTCTTCAAATGTGTTGGCTTCTTGTTCGGCTGTGTCTGCTTCTGGCGAACTGTGTAGACCCATACCGTGCATGACAACTTCTGGACCGGTTGCCACAATTTTGTATCTAGGGCAATCTTTGACAATTTGCCAACATTCCCATTTGTTGAATGATTTGTTATGGTTCTTTGCATTGTAGAATGCTTGTGCTTGTAGTGTCTATAAAAATTACGTAAAAATTACATAAGAATTGTGGAATGCATAAAAATTATATAAAAATTACATAAAAATTACATAAGTATTTGGAATGCATATTACATAAAAATTACATAAGAAATTAAATAAGAATTGTCGAATGCATAAAAATTATATAAAAATTACATAAAAATTACATAAGTATTTGGAATGCATATTACATAAAAATTACATATAAGAAATTAAATAAATTAAAAGATTGATGTGGGTGGAATGCATATAAATAAATAAAAATATTGTTACCTCATCCGCTAAACTTGTCCCACTACGCAAATTACCAGAAGCATGAGAGAGGGCGTTTTTCCAACAAGTAAAGGATGCGTTGAGTTTTTTCCAACGACCTTGAAGACCTTGACTAGATCTGGCATCTTTTCCATGTACATCTTTTCCATGTACATCGTTGAACGATTTCGTAATTTTACTCCACATTTCTCGCTTATCCATCTCATTACCCGTAATCGGGTCATGAGTAGTGCGAACCCAACATTCACACAACGTAACATCTTCACTGAGCTTCCACGAAGTCATTTTTTTCTCTCAAAGTGTACAAAATATTCAAATGTAGAAAGCGTAGAAAGTGTAGAAAATATTGAAATGTGGTGTAAGGTGGAAGATGAGTGTTAGGTATTTATAGAAAAAAAAAATTAATTTTTTAAAATTTTTCTGTATTTTTTTAAAAATTTTTGACATTTTTTAATTAATTTTTAATAAATTTTAATGTTGTAATTAATCGGGACCGTTGGATTTGAAAAATAATCAAATCCAACAGCACTCATTACGCCACGTGGCCAACGGTCAAATTTCTGACCGTTGGGCCTTTTTTTTTTTTTATATATTTTTGGTGAAATAAACGTGGACCGTTGATCTGTGATCGGACGGACCAATTTAAAATTTAAATTTAAATTTTTTTTACCGTTGGAAATCCAACGGCCTAAAAAACTAGCCGTTGGAAATCCAACGGCTCTGAGGAGGCCACGTTTCCTTCACCCGGACGCTGCAAGTGGGTCTGCACGCGGGCCCCCGCGCCTGCAAACCTGTCGGCTACTCGCCGCCCCCCCCCCCCCCGCGTGTTGTGCACGCGCCAGAAACAGACCGGGGAATGGGTCTGTCCATTTTGGGCTGGGCTCTTGACTGGCACGGGCTGGGTGCCAGGCAAGGTTGCGGGCTGGAGCACATATGGAGCAGGCCGGGCTGTTATTTGGACTGGGTGCTGGGCAATATTTGCTTCGGTGGAGCTGCTCTTAGAGACTTGGCCCATAATTTTCAGCGCACCTTGCCCGTTAATTTCAATATTTACTACTTTACGCTTAAACTGGTGCAATTTGAAGACCATGCAGTATAATACGCCACAATGAAGCCCCATGACTCATTTTGAAAATAACCTCCTTCCCCTTTCCCATTGTAATTAGCCCCTAATTTTTGTCCAGTTGGGAAATTTTATGGGATTTTACAAAG